TTATCGATTCGTTGTTGCAGCCCTACTTGACAGTGCTACAAATATGCAGTTTCAGTCAGACTCTGGCTGCATTTTGGACTGAGTGGAGAAAGATTACCCACTGAGAGCCCTGACCACTTCTTCTTTCTGCCACACCCTAACTATGTGAGAGGTTTTTCTGCTGTGGCCTCAATCAAGACAAAATGCAGATCAAAGCTGGACACTGAAAATGAACTCTGAGTGGAAGTGTCACAACTGCAACTCAAGTTTGAGAAGATCTGCAGCAACAAGCAGGCTCACACCAGCCACTGAAAAGAAGTGACGATTAAAGGTGTCGTTTTTGCTCAACAAAGACTGGTATAAACTTGGTATGGTAATAAATTATTTTATAAACTGGGGGGGGGGGGGGAGTTTTGAGACCACTGCTCTGTAGTATTTCTGTCTTACTGTAGTAACGATGCATGTTGACTTCCTGTCTCGTCACTACTTCCTGTAACGTCTCAAATCAACACAGAGCATGTTGGCTTTCATTTGGATTTGGCTGAATGAAACTAAAGTCACTGATATGTGACAACTTGTCAGCATCAGGAACATGATAATAATAAAGTTGTGTCTCTTGATAGCAAATTGAAGAAGTGCGTCAGGTGGGTTCGTACAAGAAGGGCACCATGACTACAGGACACAACGTCGCCGACCTTGTCGTCATCCTGAAAATCCTCCCAACATGTAAGTGATGATCGCACCAGATGTCTGATTAAACTGGTTTGTTTAAATTCTTGTGTACGTGTGTTTGTGTTTTTTGTCCCCCGTGTCCTCAAATGATTGGGGTGGCTGAAGATTAAGCTACGTTGGTCAAGGCCACCATTGGCCACCCCCTGGCTCCTCCATTGCACCTGGTGGTAGATAAAATGTCTCCCTCCAGGATCTGTCGGACCAGAAAATGAAACTAAGCCTCCCTCTGCTCTTCTCCACAGTGTAACTCTTACCCACCTGAATATGTTGCACCACAAACATTCAGGTTTACTTTCAATCCCAGTTCAATTCCAGTCCAGAAAAACACTCATGTCTAAACTACAAACATTCACTGTTCAAACCGCTCAGAGACGAGGCACGTCGGAGGGCTGCCTGTTCTGCTTGGATTATTCTGTTTTCATTCACTGTAGTTCCCTTTTGTAACGTGATGTTACAATTCATTTAATTCGAGTCTTTATCCAGCTTCTCTTCTGGGTCATGGGAGTCACTCGTGTCCATGTCCAGCTATATTTAACTGCTTAAAAATACTAGTTTTTAATGTTTTTTCCTCAAAAATCTGTCAGTCTTTTAGATCTGTCTCAGCCTGAAATAAAAATAATTATATAATTTTAATGATTCTTTTTATTTTAAAGTTTAAAGTTTTTGTTAGTTTGTTCTGGACCCCCTCCTCTGCACAGAGTCAGACCTACTAGTGGGGCTGTGCCTGCTCTTCCTCTCGTTCCTCTTCTAAAATAAATTGTGATCATCCTCTTCATCAACAAAGTCCTCTCTGTCTGACTCAAATCCTGTCCTGTGTCTGAGAGGTTCTGACTCGCTGGTTCCGTCCTCTGGGTCTGCAGCTCGTACTCACGTTTAAAAATCCTCTCATTGTTTTGACTCAAACACATTAAAACTGACTAAACTAAACTTGGATTCTGTTTATTGCATTTATGATGCAATAAAATAAACAAATTTTAAAGGTAACGGATCACTGTAAACTTTGGTTTATTTACATAATGATTTTAATCTCTGGATGTCCGGCCCCCGAGCTGTTGGCAGAAACTGTGGTCCCTGAGCAGTTTAGTTGAATAGCCCTGCTCTAAAAATCACAAATCTCTCAAACCTCATGACTCACTCTCGCTGTGACTTGATCGCGCTGAACTCCGTTCAACTTCACGTCTTTTTCTTCTTCCTGTAGATTTTTTTTGGCTCTTAGCAAATACCTTCAAACCTCTGTCAGAAAAAAGGGGGGATGTTGTTTATCTGTTTGGTGGGGGTGGGCGGTGAAAGTGGAGGGTGATGTGGGTGTTTTGTTCCCGACACTGCCCGTCTTTGCCGCAGCCTCTGTAACACGGTTCAGACATGACGATGATTTTCAGAAAACCATGTGGCGTGGATTATTGATCATAACTCTGGTTTTACTTGGCCTATCAGCACAATTTAAAAACTGGTGTGTAGCTTAAAGCCTGTACTTTTGACAAATTAAAGCCGAGTCTCTGAGAGGCTCTTTCCCACTAGAGCAGCTGAAATCAGTCATTTTGTTGTTTTTTATTGTTGTCTAAAACAGGTCTCTCTTGTAAATGAGTCCTCATGACTTGCTTTGTGCAAAAGTCTGCCCTGATGGAGCGACACTCACCTCCTGCTCAGTTCACGTTTACTTTTTATTCTTCATTAATGACATTATTCCCTGCTGTTTTAAAGTTTGCTCCAAAACAACAGAGTTAAACATCCTTATAGTTCTGACCGACACGGATCATTTAATGTAAATACAGAAGTACTGTAATGAGTAGTAAAACTTGCCAACATTAATAAAATGTTTTTTTTTTTAGTAGATGCCAAGAAGTGTTTGACAACCCAGATACTTTCTTAGTTTGTCCTTGAAGTCTCCTTGAATTTATCCAAGAAAACGATAAGTTATGAAGACCTTTTGAAATTTAGAGATTTTAAAGTGTTTTTTTAATTTTTATTTTTCAGTGGAAGCCGTGGCTGCTCTTGGTAACAAAGTTGTGGAGACCCTTCGCACCCTGGACCCCACAGAAGGTACAGAGTGGTGGACAAGAGCGTCCAGATCGTCGTGATTAAATGTCTGCTTTGATTTTAATGGGGGAGAGGGTGGGAGATTACCCTAAGACCTGGATTATGATCAGATGGTTCCAGTCTGTTCCTCAGAACTTCTTAAAAAGAGTTTCAGGGCAGCAGCTCTGCAGTGAGGAGCTCAGAGTAGAGCTGCTCCTCCACATCGAAAGGAGTCGACTGAGGTGGTCCCTCCATTTGATTAGGATGCCACCTGACTGATGGTTCTGGAGGTCTTCCAGGAGAAGACCCCCCAGGGCAGACCCAGAACTCTCTGGAGGATTGAACATCCCCTGTGGTCTGAGCTGCTGAAGTGATGAACGTCTGGGTTTCTGTGACCCGACCTTGGAAAAAACATGAAAGGATGGATGTATGGGTGAATTATTAGTGTTGCCATAGTAACCAGACGTTTAATACTTTAGTTTTGCAGAAGTCTGAACTCCCTCATGTTGTCATCAAAGTACAGTAACGACACGAACAGAACCCCTCCAGTCTGGGTTCAGTCGGTCTGTTTGAACACCCTCTGGTGTCGATCACGAGATGGAACTTTATTGATCCGCAGGAAGTTGCTGATCATGAGTAACTGGATGTTTTCCCATCATTAGTCATTGTTTGACTGTTTCCAGTCCTCTCCATGCTGACCAATGAGACGGGCTTTGAGATCAGCTCAGCTGATGCTACTGTCAAGATCCTCATCACCACCATTCCACCCAACCTGCGCAAGCTGGACCCAGAGCTTCACTGTAAGAGCTTCACACGTGCACACACGTCAGACATTCAGGGAGTCTCACTTGTTTTAGTTGCAGGCAGAACGTTCGGCTGATTTTCTGCTTCTTGTTACTTCAGTGGACATTAAGGTTCTGCAGAGCGCTCTGGCTGCCATCCGCCACGCCCGCTGGTTTGAGGAGAACGCCTCTCAGTCAACGTGAGGACGTTTGTGCTGTCACATGTTACATGTACCGTTTACAGCATTGGTCCATGACCTCTCACCTGACCTGTCATGATCCTCAGGGTCAAGGTCCTGATCCGGCTTCTGAAGGACCTCCAGCTGCGTTTCTCTGGTTTTGAACCTCTGACTCCATGGATTCTGGACCTGCTGGTGAGTGCCAGTCTCGTATTTAATCATAATATGAACTATTTCAAATATAGTTGCACAGTTGGTAGAGGTGCCACCTCTCAGTGAGGAGGTTGCCGGATTGTCCTTGCTGCGTGGTTTTTCTCTGGGTACTCCAGTTTCCTCCCACAGACCAAAAACATACATGTTAAACTGACTGGTAACTCTAAATTGACTCTAGGTGTGAGTGAGAGAGTGGATGAATGTTTGTCTCATTTGTCTCTGTGTCCCTGTGATGGACTGGAGACCTGTCCAGATGTCCCCCACCTCTCACACAGTGATTGCTGGATATGGACACCAGTGACCTCGCGACCTGGAAAGGAAGAAGTAAAAGAGGGATGGATGTATGTTTAGGGCCTAACATACATTTGATTGTGGTTATTTAAAGTTTGATAGATTTCTCTGACGATAATATTGTGCCAACATGTTTGTCAGATTCTTGTGTATTAGTATTCTTGTAGTATTAGTATTTCACAAATATTTCCAGCACTCTGAACTCAAATTCAGATTTTCTAGCCGATACTTTCTGCCTCTTCTGAAGTCCGGTGTTTTTCAGAGTTTGTTTCAGCAGGAAGTCAGTAAATCAGTGATGTTGATCGTGTTTCAGGGTCACTCTGCCGTGATGAACAACCCGTCCAGGCAGCCCCTGTCCCTGAATGTGGCCTACAGGTTTGTTCTTCCTCCTCCGCCTGGTTTCTGTTGTGTTCTGGAGAAGCTGACTCTGACCTTTGCTCTTGGACCTGGACCCCTGCAGGCGCTGCCTTCAGATGCTGGCTGCCGGCCTCTTCCTGCCCGGCTCTGTGGGCATCACCGACCCCTGTGAGAGTGGAAACTACCGAGTTCACACAGTCATGACTCTGGAGCAGCAGGTATCTCCTCATACGTGGAGCTTCAGTAAACTGTAACGTTGGCTGACTTTTGTGGTTTTTAGGACGTTTTAATTATTCGCGCCTGGAAAGGACTCGGTCCAATCTGTACATAAACCTTTTGTCCCGCCCATCACGTCTGATCCGCTCAAGATAATTTAATGAAACTTCATGCACCGTCACTAGACAGAGTGCCACACACACTTCTCATCCCCCCAGTCTTAAGGTCAAGGTCACACATCAAGGTCGAAGTTCAGAAAAGTTCTTTGCTTGTCCGGATCATTGCTATAGATCTCCATGTAACAGTTTGTCGACAGGCGTTCAATGAGTTGGTGCTGAACTCTTCAAAATAAATGATTTGTTTGAGTCTCAAAGTGTGCGTGCTTGTGTGTGCAGGACATGGTGTGTTTCACAGCGCAGACACTGGTGAGGGTGCTCTCCCATGGAGGTTACAGGAAGATCCTGGGCCTGGAAGGAGATGCCAGCTGTAAGTTTCCTTTTGTTTTTCTTTTTAAAGGGATAATCTGGTCATTTTTCAGTAATTCATTATCAGCCTTGACATGAGTCAGGGAGCAGAGTTTGAAGTTTGGAGTCTGTCCACACTCCATCTACACAGAGCAAGTTCTTCAAAGTCTCACTGGTGAAAGAATGTTGCATCATCTGCTCCAACAGGACACTGTTTGTTTCACTGTTCTCTCAACAGAACGTCGAATGTCCAGAGTTCATTAAACTTTCAGAAACTAATTGTTGACAAACAACAGATGATTTAATTAAAAGTGGCCACCACCGCTGACTCAGTGAGTGAATTTAGAGGCAGCTGAAGAGTAAATGAGAGTTCTGTGATGGAGTTAAACTCAAAGCTCCTCAGATAAATGTTAATTATTTTTATATATGAATGTTTCTGTTCAGAGCTCTGAGATTTGAACTGAATCTTTTCTACAGATCTGATGACAGAGATGTCCACGTGGGACGGCGTGCTCGTCACTCCCTCAGAGAAGGTCTATAAGAAACCTCTGGAGAGGAAGGAGGAGGAGGACGAAGCTCTGGAGGAGGGAGCAGACGAAGAGGACGAGAGCATGGAGACCCAGGAGTAAAGAGGTGAGACGTCTCCTCCCTTTAAACTCAAATCACATTTTAGCACCACTTTTACATGAATTTGAATTCTTTAACAAAACAAACTGTATTCTATGTAAGAACGACCCCATAAGGAAAAAAGAAAGATGTACTGGAACATTTGGGCCAGATTTTAATGAGTTGGTGCAGTTTGTTGACTGGACCATCATAAATCAGATTCTGTGAGTTTGTTACCAAACTAAAGCTCCAGAGTTAATAAATTAAACATCACAAGTTTGACCTTTTCGACCCATATATTGTTCATAAGGACTAATACAAAATATAACTTGACTGTCACACGTTGACTCCTTGTGTGTTAGTCTCCACTACAATTGATGTACGTCATCGTCCCAGAATGCATTGCGTCAGTAAAACTGGTGACGTCCTCAGGTGAAAAATGTAATAAACGTCTTAATTAATTAAGCAGTTTTCACGTGTCCCAATCAATTTTTAGTAGAAGAGAAATAACACGTTAAGGCCAAGATGTGCAGTTAGTCAGAGAGCCCTTTAAGTGTCTTCTAACGTGAAAACTTTATTTAAAATGAAAAGGTGAACAGCTCTCAGGTAACTCCTGGTCTAGTTAATAAAGCCAAGTAGCTCTAAAGCTGCTTCTCTGCTCAGCGTCGGTCAGTCGTGTCTCTAGTCCTTGTTCCTGCTCGCTTTTTGGACCCACCTCAGTCGTGGTTCTAAGCGAGCTGAACTATGCGACGTCAGCAAACTGCAGCTGTTGATTGGCCCGTGGATCAACCACATCTGTGCTTGTAAAGTCCTGTGTTGCCAACTTGGCTACTTAAGTGAGTTTTCAGACCCCTCCAGCATCTTTGAGCATTTTAAATCAACAAATCTAGCTGCTTTTTCTGATGTTTGGAGGCTGCACGTGAAGGAACTAATCATTAACTGTCCTCAGCGGGTGCTGCCTTAAGCCCCGCCCCCTCCCAAAACTCTTGACAGCAAGAGAGACCCTCCCAAAGGAGACGATCTTACTGAGCTTGAGCAGATCTGAATCATCAGTGGTTTGATATGAATCAGCCTGAAAGTTTCTGCACGTCCACGTTGTTCTGAAACCATCAAGTGTCGTCTTCATAACTGGTGGTGTCGTTGTGTCCACAGTGGATCTGTTACCTGTCTGAAGTCCGTCGTCCTGGAGGAACCAACAGAAGAGCTCACCTGGAAGACCAGTCTCTTTAAAGTTTTCATTAGTCTTGTTTTTGTGATGTTTTCACCTGACCTTGTTTTTCTTCTTCCTTTTTGTAAAAGTGGAATAAAAGTGTTGTTTTCAGTCGTGGCTCTTGAGTTTTTATGGATCAGCTTTATTTAGATGATCAGTTCATTATAGCTCTCTGCTCATAGGCAAAGCTAAATAATGTTCATGCTCATGTTTCTGCAGGTTTGTGACCAGAACCCAGCATGAATGTGTGAACAGATGTTGATGCTGCAGAAAATAAATCATTACGTTACAGCAGCCTGACTTAAGATGGCTGCCACAGCCAGCTGACTTGCACACGCACGTCGTTCTAAAGTTTACAGATGTTGAGCGAGGTGGAGCTGAACGTTTGTCGAGACTTCTCAACAGAGGGTAAAGCATGAACAGTTTGTGGGTGATAAGCATTCCTTCCATGAATGCAAAGTATTTAAAATCAGATTTGAACAGATTAAATTTTAACGGATCGTCTCTGGTGCTGATGAACGAGTTGGTCAGCGTCTGTTTAAACTGCAAGGTTCATCAAAAACACTTAACTTTATTCTGAAAACATTTGGCTGAAGGCTGCACCTCCTGGTCCATGGGCTCTTTAACTTTCAGTCTGGTACTAGAAGAAACTAGAGGTGATGATGTAACTGTTGACTTGTGGTTTCACTGGAGACCCAACAGCTTCCTGTGTCCAATCACAAACTCAGAGGCTGAAGTGAGAAGACGTCTTGGTACCTTTCAGTGTGAACTTTAACCTTTCAGTGTGAACTTTAACCTTTCAGTGTGAACTTAACACTCCGCTGGTGCAGTGAAGCCACAACTCGTCTCCACCTCAGGACTGAGGGCACCAACTGGGTCACAAATGGATGGAAACTTTCTGGAACACCAGAACCTGCTGATACCTTTCACACAAATCGTAGTCAGGAGAAAAAGGAAGTTGCCCTCGTTCAAGTTCGAGTTTTACAAATCAGGATATTAAAAATTATCTGGACTTGAGCAGGTTACAAACACCAGGGTGTAAAAACATCAGCAATGAGCTTAGACAAGCACCTGCCATCAATCTGAGAAGGGTCAAAGGTCATTAAAACGATCTGGAGTCCATCGCTCTGCAGAGAAGTGAGACATTTCAGACAATCTTCACAACAGATTCACCCCAAGGTCAGACCATGCAGTGTTTAGAGAAATGAGCTCCATCTCACTCTACAGTCAGTCAGCAGGTCAAAGGTCAGGACAGAAACACAGGTCTGGTTTGTTTGAAGGGCTGCAGGAGAAACCTCTTCTGTCTAAAAACAAGATGGCCGCTCGACTCAGGCGTAAAGTTTCATCTGAAGGAACCACAAGACTTTGGACCAGAACCAGACCAAAGGACAGATGTTTACCCAGAATGCACTGCAGCAAGCAGCTCCTCAGCTGTCAGCATGGTGGTGGAGGCTGATGGTTTGGGCTCCTGTCAGTCACTGAGTGGACCAGAACTCCTCTGTAGACCAAAAGGTTCTGGAGTCAGATGTGAGTCCATCTGTCCAAAAGCTGAAGCTTGGACCAAACTGGGTCCAACAGAACCATGAGCCCAAACACAGCAGCTGATCTACAACAGAACGGGTCAGAAAGAACAGAACCAAGGTGCTGCAGTGGTCCAGTCAGAGTCCAGAACCTCAACCTGATAGAAATATAGAGAGAGCGGAGGAGAAACCTCAATGATGGAAAGAAGAGTGGTCCAGAACTCCTCCACAACCATGAGAGAGATGAAGTCCTACAGAGAACTACTGAGGTTCTGGTTCTGGAGGAGGTTCTACAAGCTGCTGGGTCGGGGTCTTTACACAGCTGCAACATTTGGTTTGATAAATAACGACTTGGTGGAATCTGTTTTTGTTCACTTGAGGTTAAATTTGATTCACTAGAACCTGACGAGACCGGACCAGTTTCAAGGTCCTCAATCTTAAAACCTGCGCACGTCCTCCTAGTCTGAGATGGTGACGTGGACAGAGGACGGGGGACAAAAGGACACTGGAACTTCCTTTAAACCAAAGCTTACACTAAAACAGTGTTAGTAGTTTTAATTTCTTAATAAAACCTCTGAATGGTGGAGCTGAAGTTCACAAGCGTTGCTCCGGCTCTGATGGAAAACTGAAAACTTCCAGGTTTTACGTTCTCTACGTTTGGATAGACGGCTGTTAAAAACGTTAACATTCAGGAAAGAACATTTCTTTTGTTGGGCAAAAAGAAAGATCATAAAACGTCTGTTAGAACTCGAGCCTCCAGAGGAGTTGATCACATGACGTCGGTACAGTTCTGTTCTGAACGGGCCAAACTGGGTTCATGGTTTGAGTTTGAGCCACGGCTGGACGATGGTGAGGATGGAGAGGACAGAGGAGACCAGGCCGCAGGTCCCGACAAAACCCGGCCCGGTCGGGTAGATCCCCAGCCTGTCGAGTGGGATGAAGAGATCACAGCTGTTCTTCAGCAGGTCCAGCAGCAGCGGCGGGTTTCTGTACAGAACCGTCAGAACCTGATGGAGGCGCCTGTGGAGACGGGCAAGAGGAAGAGGCGGAGCTCCGGCAGAGGGAGAGGAGGACGTGGAGAGGGGGTCGGTGAGGAGAGCGCTGCTGTCGGAGGGAGGCGGGGGGGACTTGGTGCCTCTGGAGCGGGTCTCAGAGTCGAGGAGGAGGCGGAGCTCGTACAGGTCTCGGGTCAGGCTGAGGATCAGAGCAAACAGGTAGTACCTGCAGAGAGGAAGCAGAGACAGAACGGTCCTGATCCAGGGGCAGATTCTAGATCTTTTTACAAACAAACAAGTGTTTACCAACAAACAAAAATGTTTTCTCCCACCATCCGTGTCGCAAAACACCATTTTTAACTTTTTACAGGTCAGAGCTGCTTCTGGACGAGGGTTAGAGCAGCTCATAAAAACAGTATTTTATTTACCTTTTTACTGACAAATATTATGAATTTCACCTTTTTACACAACATATTGTGGTTGTTTACCACAATAACACAAACGCAGCATCCAGTGGTCACGGTGAGCAAAAATTTCATATATATATATACACATGTATATATATATATAAAGGTGTTATAAACCCTTCCCACACTCTTGCAATATTCTAAACAATGTTTGTAAACTCTAAAGGCTCTAAAAGACACAGCGTGTCATGATCTCAGCTCCCTGCTTCCTCTACTCTTTGCCACCTGTAAGCGCTGTTGGCCACGCCCACTTCTCCGCTCTGCACGGAGAACAGCTGATCAGCTGCAGCAGTATGGGCTGCACCAAGCTGCAGGAGGAAGCTTTCTACAGCTCTGGGCTGCACACAGGTGCTAAATAATTTTTAAATTATTCATTTTAAATAAAAATGCCATACCGATCATGCGGCTCATACATCAATCAGCCAGTTGTGTGTCATGTCCAATCTTATTTTGAAAAACCGCGATAGAGCGAGTCTGAGATAAACGAACCGCAAAGTAGTGAGGGACTACTGTGATGAAATATAAAGACATAATTTTAATTAGGGCTGTCTGTGTTTTTGTGTTTAAAGTGTGATTTAAGACGATAAGGTTTAAAAAGTTTGGAGGAGCTCATCCTCAGCTCTGTCCTGCAGACACCAAACTGGACCAGAGGACCAGGCTGGAACTGCAGACGGTGAAGTTAAGTCAGTCTCCGTTTGGTTCAGAAGCACAACAAAGAACACCGATTGTTCTACCAGCCACCTGCCTGAAGGACCTCTGACTCCATTTGTGCTGGTCCAGTTGGGCCACGAGGCCTGTTTTTCCTGCCCACAGCACGTTGTCGCAGGCGAAGTACATGGCTCTGTTCAGGTGGCTGACGGTCAGGCAGAGCCTCAGCACGCCGTCAGACAGGTGGATGGTCCGTTTGGCAGCCTGCAGCGCTTCCACAGAGTTCCCCAGACGCAGCACTGCAGATCAGAACACACACACGAGTCACACCAAACATCAAGTCTCAGAAACACACACACCTGCTTCACCTACACTTTCTCGTGAGGCTCATGTGAGCCTCCAGGCTGTTGATTTTCGAGCGGAGCTCCGGCGCTGCCGAGGTCCTGTGCAGAGCGGAGCCGACCAACATGCAGGCGTACTGAGCCGCTCTGAGGACAAACACCCGACCGTTAGAGAGCCGTTTCAGCCGGAAGAGAGCAAAACACAAATATTGGATCGTACACACACAAAGAAACAGCTGAAGAAACACAGAATGTAAACTGTTCGATGAAGAGCACCGTTATCAGATATATTTTGTTTTACTCCATAAAGCAGAAAATACTTCAGAAACAGAGTAAGATTTACTGAAGTTAGTTTTAGGTTGGATGTTCAGCGGAGTCTTCCTCTCGTTCGACCCGATGCAGGCAGTCTGACTTCAGACCTTCAGCCTGCCTCCTCCTCCGACCTGAAGCGGTTCGCTTAGGAACCGTCAAATTACTGAACCAAACACTCTTGAGAAGCAAAAATTAATAGTTGTCATGTCATGATCCAGCGGCACAAAACTGATGTCGCTCTACTACTACACTGGCCGGACGACGCATGGTTGTGTTTGGAGACCGAGCAGAGCTCCCTCTCGTCACTTTACCAAACTGATGAATGTTTGAACGTTGTGCAGATGACAGAAGAACGAGAAGAACTCTCATCGGCTTCATGGAGTCAAACACGACTGGAGGTCAATAAATCTGCAGCTTAACAAACGATTTGTCAGTGGACAATTATGAAAACGCGTCTCGATCTGACAGTTTACTCATCTGCAAAATCACACCACGAACAAATCACCCATGTGAGCAAAGGGCGTGAGGCTCAGACATTTTTCCTTCTTTCAGCTGCTCCCTTCTTCAGGGGTTACCACAGTGAACTATCTCACACGAAGACAATTGTTCTTATGTCGGATGTCCTTCCTGACACAACCACAGACCACTGAGCTACCACAGCCCTCTGTGTGGAGCGGAGAGCTGCCAGCTAGGGGGGCAGATGGGGGGGGGGGGGGGTTAAGGGCCTTGCTCAACCACTGGAAGCTGCTGGTTGGTGGTTTTCCTGCTGAGAAATTATTTGATTAATTTCTATTTTATTCTCTG